TATTAAGTTGCGTATATCTACAACAGTACACGTCCCCGCGTACTATCGTCGTTCCTCAAAGACTGCGAGCACCGAGCGCGACGACCCAACAAAGCAAAAGTCTAAAAACGACCGAAGAATATTCACGAAAGATAGAAAGCTGCGATATTTCTTAGGCATTTGTTTTACACGTTACACACATTTGTAATAATAGCTTTTTGTAGCGCAACATTGTGGCGACAATACTCATTATAACGCGACAGTTATTCAATAAAATGTCTCTCTTTAAGTCATTCAATACTAAATTATCAAGCAGCTTATACGGAAAGCTCACGGAATTTTGAACAGTAGAAATTTTTTCGAACTACAACGAATGTCCGACGTAATTTGACCAACGCGTTATAGGACAGCAATAATCCTACCTCGAGCAATAAGTTCGGTAGCAATAGATACGTTTCTGTTCTGAGATCTTTAATTGTAGTTCATCGTTTTGAACTTACATAATGTGTTTACCGTTTAATTTCGTATTTAATTTAATTAAATTATTCGATTGAAAAGAATGTCTAATATAGAAAGGGAAAAGACGCATCTTCCAAATTAAAAAAAAATTTACTTGAGAATCTCTTTCAAGGAAGTAGTTCACTCGAGAAACAAAGTTTTGTTTATATTTCATAGAAATTTTGGTTGATTGTAAGTCCACATTTTGTGGCTCGTAAAATGAATTTATTTTTAAAAAATCATGCTTTCTCGGTGCCCGCATGTCCAGTTCATCGAATCCTGTCGTTCATCCTAGGTCCCTTAGTTTCTCCAGACATTCCCATCATCGACTCTATCCCGTCAAGTAGATTCTAAGCAGAGACAGTATTTGAATGGGGTTATTGGAGGACGAAAGAATTATCGTTAAGTAACTGTATTGAGTAGCGCGCGAGCGCGCGTCGCGTGTGTGCAGTGGCAAAAAAAAAAACAGACAGGCAGCCTAATTATGCGAGTATACACGTCGATGAGGTGCGATCGATCGTTTATTTATTTTAAGCATAAAAAATATCGTCTTTCTAATTTAAGAGTACAATTTTAAAATATTTATTTTTATTATTTTTAAGATAATGGTTCGATTAATTCGTTCACGGAAAAATATCGTTAAATATCATAAATTAAAAATTGTGTGAAACTGAATTCAACTACTGTATACTTGAATTGACATACTGATCAAGTTTGCACTCTTGTGGTCATACAGACTTGATAAAAAATACACGATCGCGTACATCGACGAAGCTCGAAGACTCTTCCATTCGCTCGACCCGTGCACCTCGATCGTTTTATGTAAAAGCTTTGAAAAGCGGTACGCGTATGCGTTTAAAATGCGTTGATCGGAAAATATATGACAGAAATGGAACCTAAAGTTTTGAGGTTGAAAGAATTGAAACCGATATCTTGATATCGATATCTTACAAAGTATTTAAGATATTTAAAACAGATTTGAAAGATCAGTATTTTTTTTAGACATCTCACGATCCTTTTAAAATATCTTTACAGCGTCTTTTAAATAATCTGCTTGAGTATAAATTTAATAAATTTATATTTTATTTAGACACGAAAATAATCAAATTAATTTATATCACACGAGATTATAATTTACAAATTTAGACAAAATTATCATTTATAAAAACAAAATGTTTTTTTTGTAGTGACAATATTAAAAATCTCATTATGTCTTAATTACATCGGTTTCAATATTGCGTGAAATCTAAAACGTTAATAAGCACATTAGAAAACAGTCCACGAAACTATCGCTCAAAACAAAAAAAAATGCTCACGGACGATTTCATTTGCGACTGACTTTAATTGTACTTATATTTAACGGTATTGAAGATTTACGAAAAGACATGCGAATTACGAAACTCAAAGAATGTTCGAACAGACAAGCAATTTAAATGGAAAAAGGAACATACGACTGTTCGAACAAGAAAAATTAAAATAACGATACGTTCCTTAAATTCATTCCAATGTAATTTTCGCGATATTAATGTTATTAATATTAAAAGATTCGACTCAAAATCATTCATTGTTAAATTAGATTAGTCTATATGTTTGCTTAGTTCGTGCATGTATTATAATTCCAAAAATTGGCGTTATAATCGAAGGCAAATAAGTTCGAATGTTCTATTTGTAATACGGGAATTTACCATCTAAGTACGTACTTACGGAATCTTTTAAAAAGATCTCATTTTACAGTACATTTTACCGCAATTGGAGATCGATCTCCGATCGCAGAATAAAAATATGCTCATCCCTTCCCCCCTACATATCCTCAACTTTTTCTGAGCACTGCCTAATCGTGCACAAAGGTACACTTTATAAGCGGGGTACTATAGGGCCGAGCGCGAGCAAACTCGTACATAATTAACACAATCGAATTCTATTCATTTCAAATAAAGAGATAAAAGACAGAGAGAAAAAAGGATGAAGAGAGAAAACAGCAAAGCTCACTTCACATTGCATCTTAAGAAAGACAATAAAGGACACCTCTCGTTTTTGACAAGCCAGCTTTTTCTTATTAGCACTGGCTTTATAAACAATTAATTTTATTTATTATAAAAAAATAGTGTTTTTGATATTATTAAATATTACGTAGGTTATTAAATTAAAATTGTGCAACTTATTAAAATTAAACAAAAAGTATGCAATATTAAAATATACTTTTTCTGCTCATTGTATTAAAAAATTTTTTTCTTGGATTTTTAGCGCACAAAAAAATACAGAATGTATATTTGAAAACGGTACTCTCCATACAGAAGAAATCGATTAAAAATTATCTTATTAGAAAATATATTGCGATGCAAAAGAATGAAAAGTCAAGACGCGAATCTTAAAAAATAATCTACTTTCGCAATTTAGAGAAATTTAATATTAAAAAGAGGTGTTCTTTGTAATGTCGTGGATCATTGTTCTTTCACAGCAAGATACAGTTAACGATCGTAGCATAAGATGGATTTATTATAAAGAAAGACGACTTTATCTGTCGGTCGACGGAAAGAAAGATCACTGTAAGATATACATATTATTACATAATGTAACGCTGCCACTGAACACATCCCGTTAGTACAATTACCGTATATATAATAATAATAATATTAATAATCCGCAGTATACTGGGACACACCGTATTATTAATTGAATTGATATTTATTAACGATTATAATTATTATATTATTACCACTATATTATCTATACCATTTGTACTTTACACTTCAGTTCGAACGAAATAAATGCCTTCTTTTTCATAAAACCGTCGATTAGATGACAAAGATGTATGTTTCATTTCTAAATTAAATTTATATTGGACTCTTTACATCAATCATTTGTCAAAACACCAACACCGAAAAAATATTCACATTTTTTACAAAGTAATCATACAAAGATTTAGAATCTGAAATAAGTTTAATTCCTTCTATATCACAAATTTCTGATCTTCAGCACGTTTAAAACGCTATCTCCGGCGATTATTTGCGCGATTCTTGCTACGGCTATTTCTGCGATTGATGTAACGATGTCTATCTTCCTTACTTTTCTTAACTTCAGAAAACTCGCTCCGTATACGTTGCCAAAATTTAGTTCCCACATGCGACAGGAAATACATTACTCCGTTATCCCTGAATTTTTGATTGAGTTACGATAAATAAAATCTGTATCAACTTCATTCAGTCATTTTTTAAATAAAGAATTCGTATTTTACTATCAGTACAAAAATATCAGTAATAAGACGTAATGATTATAAACTCACGTTAGATCTTTGAAATCGACAGCTCTTGTAACGTGAAGAGTAATCAGAAAAATCATTGTTGCTATTCCATTTGTGAGAATTGCCATGAATGATTTAATCGTACCAAATATTGAAAAAATTTCAGCTACATTTCCCAATTTTAATCGACTGAGTATCTGCTCACATTAGTTTTCGGTAAGTATTAAATGTGATAATATTAATACATAATTATTTAAATATTCACATTAAGTTCCAATAAATATAAATATTGACATAAATAGTTCATTATTAAAATTATTTGGATAATTTTATTATAATATTAAAATTAAAAAGATTAATTGATAAGTTGTTGCGTTACGGGATAAATTTTCTTTGGCAATGTGCTTAAGATGAGTACGTCTATTGGCGTCCATATGCATGCAATTGCAAATTCTAGGAAGAACGCGGTTACTAGAAACTGCAATCAAAAATAAAGAGAAAGAAAAATAAAGAAAACAGATAGTAATGTAGAAATACAAAAAAGAATCATATTCAGCGACACACTAACCTCATATAAACACATAAAAACAGGTTTCGGTTCTCGGAAAGATTGCGGGAATATCGTTGAATTGACGATGATAATGTAAACACTTATAGCAATTAAAAAAGAAGTAATTGGTGGACTTGATATCAGAGGATAACCAAATTCGTCTTCCATAGCGTTAGCAAAACATGTTTGAAAAATTGGTATTTTTAAACTGTTGAGCACTAATGCCCATATCGTACATGATAATCGTGTCATTCTTGAAAACAATATTAAATAATCGCAATTTAGCCATTCAGATTTAATTTATAGATTATCGTCAATTATGAAAAGAGAAAAAATGCTTGACATTTACAATGAAGTTAGTTTAATAACACTTAATAATTTCTAGTTTATCAGATCAAGCATGAACAGTTTTCCAAAATAATTTTATCAAAAAAGTTAAATTTGTGTTTAATAGATATATTTTTGTCCAAAAAAGCATCGATACAATAGACTTACGAAATAATAAACTCATGAAACAATAATACTTCAAATTTGCAGTATAATTTGTCAATAAATTCCAATTCTTTACAAAGTTAAATTAGTAAAATAAAAAAAATTTCCATTTTTGTAAATATTTATATAATGCAAGATGCAATGCGGATGATTAACGCACTAATAATTTTATAAAATATTACAAGATATTTATTAAACATAAGGACATATACAATAAAAATGTAGCAGATTAGAAAAAATTATGATTTCTAAAATTTATCGTAAAAGGATTCATCTGACAGAATCTATAAAAGAATGATTGAGTCACTTCAGGATTGCTGAAGGTAACCTTTTTGCGTTTGGGATGTCTTGCCTTCGTGAACTGTACACGTCTTGCGAAAAGTAAAAAAGGAATTATATATATATATATATTATTAGATTATAATTATATATGTAATTAAAGCTTTTAATTTTAATTAAAGGTTATATATTAATTCTGGTTTTATGTAAGGACATGTATTTAATTAAAATACTTCAATCTTTAACATTTCGAAGTTTATAACTAATATTTAAAAAACAAAATCATTTAAATAAAATAAAATATTCTGCTGAAGGATTACAATAAAATAAATTCATATCATAAATTAAAAATTGACATTTTGCTGAATTTAACGAAATTGAATTTGAAATTTCTTTTTATTAGGAATTGTATATAATTTACGAATTGATAAACTGCTTTGTAATTTTATTACATGTCGGATAATTTTGCGGATAAGATTTGAAGTTTTCAGAATTCACTACTTGCTCCACGTATCCAGAAATGTGTCCAGTGATTCGGTGGCGTCTAGCATCCACACAAAAGACAATAATGACATGCAAAATGCCATGTACGTGGCTGCGTAGTCTCTAGCCATGTAATCCGCAAAGAAAGTTAACCAAGAATAGCTATCCAGACCTATAGTACTATTCAACCATAACAACTAAAATGAAACGAGAATATTTCAAAATTTGCAACTTCCATCTACCGGAAATTCCGTTTCTCGCGTAGCGAAAATTTCATATAATTTTATAAACAAAATTTATCGGTAATAATTTTTCATTTTCAAAAAGATCTGAGTTAAAAAATTGAACATATAATAAAATTAATTTAAAATATAACGATAGCGCATATTTATATGTAGTAAATGCTATATATACATACCCATTTACTAGATTCTTGAGTTAGACAGAAAATTACATGCATCATTGGTATCCATACCATATGGATTGCCAAATTCGTGCTCAATGCAGCTATTAACATCTACACAGTAAAATTAATTCCGAATCAATAGTATAGTTCAATTCGATATTAATATTATCTTGCCCATATCAATTATAAAAAAATTCTTATTTAATAATTATCTTAATCCGATAACTTTATGCATCTACATTACTTAGCCGAAAAGATATTGTATGAAAATATTATATTAAAATTGGTTTTAAGGAAATCTTTAAATGATGGCTCTAAGACTCACTTCGTAAATGTATAACAGCTGGATTGGTGGTTCTTTAAGAGTTATAGGCCATAGTTTGTATTCCGCTAGTAGGCACAAAACTGAGAACACAAATAGTACCGACGCGTATGATGGATCGAAAGGCAAAGCGTTTTCCTCCTCAAAACACAAACCAATTATGCAGATTTGTCGCAAATGAGTATATAAACCTGTTGCTACTACAGTAATCCAGTGAGGATCTATGAAATTCGCATAGTATTTCACAGTTTCCATCTTACACAACAATCTTTTTCAAGAAAATCTTCTAAAAAAATTTCGTTTGTGTGCTCTTTGTTCCGCGATGATTTCCCTCACTACGATTTCAGATCAAAATCGCAAGATTGATCGATTAAACCTAAAAGTAATACTTTTAAGAAAAACATTTTTTAAGTAATTAAAAAGCCTATTTTCAGAAAATCGATTTCCATTTTTATTTTAAAGTTTCTATATTTAATTAATCTGCTTATTGTAGTCCAAAATAAAGAAATATTCTGACAAGCATTGATTAACATCAAATAAATGAACAAGATAACCAGTATCATCACAGATTGTCTTTCAAGATATTAGATGTTTGTCTCACGTTACTGAATTATTTTATTACAACAAACCTCGCATCGTGATTAGAACAGTGTTGTAAAAGAACGATGACTTTACAAAGTTATTGATAAGATTAAATGCGACGATTCTTGGTTAATATTTCATTTTTAACATCGGCGACACATGCATGAATATTTGATATATTATATCTTCGCTAATCTTTCCATCAGCACTAAATGTCGATACAGAGTATTTTCGCTCGAACTGTTAATTTATCATCGTATTATTATTATCTCAATGTCCACACATCTAATGCTTAGGTTATAAAATTGCTTGTTACGCTGCAAACATCAAGATGTTCATGCATCTGTTTTGCAGAATATTTAATTTTTACAAAAACTTTTTAATATTGTTAATTAAACTAAATAAATTTAATATTAATAATTAATTAAATTAATCATATAAATGATTTAATAAATTCACCGTTGTTAGAAATTATTTTTGCTATTAGAAAAAAAAAATTAATTTTTTAATTACCAAATTTATTAATATGTATGAAGTTAATTCGCTTATCAGATTTATCTAGTTCTTCGCAAGACCAATGATCAAAATCCACTACTTTAAACATTAAATATTATTTCTTTGGCCTAATAAACTTTAATTTAGAATATATAAGTTAAATGTTAATCCCCATTAAAATCCATTAATAATTAAAGGATAATAATTTATAATTTTAAAAAATATCAGACAAGTAGCACATAAATTTTTCAAATGTGCTTTACCTTATTGAACGGTAAAACGTAAATACAATCAATATGAACTAAATATTAAATTATAATCTTTTATATTCTTTCTTCTCTCAATGATATCAATGCTTTCAACTTAATTCAATATACAAGAAGTCGACTTTATTATTCAACATCATTTACTTTCTTAGCAGCTATCACTAAATAAAATGCATTATGTATGAAAGCGAGTACCATTGTTTCGGAAAGGATAAATCCAGCTATCAGATGAAAGTGGTAGCTATTGCAAAGAAAAACGACTACTTCTTTTCATTAAAGTAATAGACCATAGAATAATAGCAGTAAAAATATTGTTATACACATGATATTATATCTGGCTCGTAGCCCTTTTTTTAATTACTGAATAAATTTATGTTTACTCTGTGACCTGTGCGTGCGCGCGTGTGTGCGTGCGTGCGTGCGTGCGTGCGTGCGTGCGTGCGTGTGTGTGTGTGTGTGTGATGTACAAAATCCGACCAAGCAACCTTCCCGTAGTGTACATCGAGTTACGCAAATGTCGGCGGTATCGTGCTGAAATCATAGAAAATCAGGGGTTACTTTAAAATGCCATATCTCACTAAATAATCGGTGTAGGACAAAAATTTTTTTTCATTTAAAAGTGCAAAGTTCATACTTTAAGATGATATCAATAATTACAATTTTTTTATTAGTCGGTATAAGTCTCGAAATTTTAAGGTTTTAGGTATTTCAAATACGTTCCTATTCAAAGCTCACCACGTCTTTAAATATACTGAATAAAAATTGAATGAAAGTACCTTATAATAGAGAGTTTGCCCTGCAAAATAGTTTTTTAAACTTCTTTTTACATTAGTTATTCGCTGAGTAGTTACAATTCAAATATGGGTAAAAATTTGTCGAGAAGTGATCTCCTAATTTTTTTGAGCAATATATATGTATATAATGACATAGTTTGTAGAACATGAAAATATACTCACAAATAATAGACGCGATATAAATTACGGAGAAATAATATGTAATAATATTGATAATATTTACACTGAAAAAAATTTCTGGTTGAAAATGGACGAATCAGAATTTCTGGTTAAATTTATTAGAATTCTAGTTGAGATAACAGGAATTCTGGTGCAATATTTCTGGTAAAATCTACTAGAATTTTCATTTTTACCAGAATAATTAGGATAAAGTTGCCGAAATCGCACCGGCTCTTAAATCGCACTACTTCGCTTAAAAATTTAATTATTGTATTTATATATTTTCTTACAGATTATTTAAGAATTACGTGATACTGTAATGCTACTCTGTTATGCTCGTGACATAAAGTGCAACAAGAATGTTATTTAGATAAGTAAAGAAATCGTGATAGCGTTGCTATTTTTCAACGTATTTCATAGCAGAATTACACAAAATATAACTTAAATAGCCTCTTGACCATTTGGCGTGATTAGAATATTATTAAAATTGAATTAATAGGATTAAAGTTTGCTTTACATTTTTTTTATAGATAAAATAAACAAAAGCTTAAAAAATGCTCTAGTTTTCTAAATCACACCATAATCTAACTTCGTAAACGCACGTTACCTAATATTTTTCCATTTCTTACATTTTTATTCCATTCATAGTCCCTAAAGAGGTCTCCGGTCCTCCAGAAGTTAATTATATATAAAATATGCCATTATATAAAGTTTATAGAAATAACCGTTCAATAAAACATATATATATATATATAATTGATTATATAATAATTGATTATATAGGTTACTAAATTGTCCCACGTTTATCGCTAAACATCATAAAATTTATAATAAATTTTACGATAAAATGTAATGAAACATATGCAAAGTAGCATTGATAACACTTAATAATTTTAGCAATAAACAGCAGTTCCTATTCTTATTCATGTGTCTAGGTCGGTTTGACTCCCACACGAATTTTTACGGGTTAATAAAGATAAATGCTATATGTAAAAGTAAATATAAAAATTATAGAAAAAAAGCATATCTCTTTGCGTTTTTACAATAGGTAAAATGTTTTCTAAAAAGATTGCCCTTGTTAAAATTTCTAATTTATATTTATAAATTTTTTTATTATCTTCATGTAATACTTAAATAGCACAACAGCGCTTGCAAAGAGCTAAAAAAAGATTATATGCGCTTTTTTAGTGCTTTGTTAACGCTTTGTAAGCGCTGTGTGCTACTTGGGTAATTTTTGAAGTATATAAGTGGATTATTATTAAATACTTATCCGGAAGAAATTAGCGATTTCCTCTTCAAACGAAGAATGAAGACGATTAAACGAAAATAAATCAATCGAGAGTCTGAAAAGAAAGGAGATGTGAACAAGAGTATTCCATTAACGGGCAACACAGAGTTCTGAATCACATCAAAGTACTTATTGCGTAATTCAAAAGAAAAATTTCTTCTAATCATATTCGTAGCAAATCACTTCGTATTTTCTCTTCAAAAACATTAAAAATGAAAAAATGTAACGTGCAGATCTATAAATAAGTAGCAAAGTAGCCATATTACGATTCTGACAATAGCTGAGGATTCAATGTTAAAGCTCGTCGTTTCCACAGACATGGAATGGTTGAATAACTTCGGACAGAGGTGGTACTCAACTAGGTAAAGAGCACCAGGAAATTGCCATCTCTTCAATCTGCCCTCTCTTTTGTCCGCTCCTTATGCGGTTGACAATTTCGCTACGTAAACGCAGATTACAGTGATGACATTAGAAAGAGTGATGACAGTATCGTTAACATTAAAAAATGGAAGCTACTATTTCTCATGAAAAAAATTCTAAATCTAAACAAAATTGAATGTCTAATTCTTTCTAGAATAATTTGTTTCCTTCTTTATAAGGAACAGAATTCCTTTTCTGAATAAAAACAGAGATATTCGTCGTATTTGCACAATGAATTTAATAGCATAATATTATATATACTTTAAGATTCTAAAACGGAATTTTTTTCGAACAAAATCATAAAGTAAAATATCTATGGTATAACACGAAAAAAACAATTTTTCTAAAGTACCTAAAAATTTAATTGTAGATACAGATCTGAAAATAATTTTATTGGGTCATCAAAATAATTATGTAGAATGCTTAAATTAGTAGCTAAAATATCAAAACTTTTTGCAATATTATTCATCATACTTAAGATTTCTACATAATTATTTTGATAATTTAGCAAAATTATTTTCAAATTTTTATCTAGTTAAAAATATATAATCGAAATTGAATATTTATTTCAAGACAATCTTTTTCTATATTTTCCATTTTAAAAAATACTCGTTTACTTTTTTTTATTTGTGTAACACCCAGAGAAAGGTTTCTTTCATTCAAGGAAATGTTTCTTTGAATCGAAGAAATCTTACTCTGGGTGTAATATTTGGAAAAGTAGGATTATATCCTATAAAAACGTCAGCACGTAAAAATCAGTTTTTGAGAAACTATTGCCCTGAAAGGAATTAACGTCTTTCTTCGTGCTATCTGCTACGAATTATACTTTTCTTAATGTCAAGCGGCTCCTGACGTCAGAGATACAACTCCGCGGAGAAGTTAAATCTCTGACGCGTATGAGAGTGGCCCAATATGACTCGCGACACATTCTTGGAAAGTCCCGACAATTACTCCGAGTCAATCTGACGGGTAGTCATGACGACGGCACAGTACATTGGGGAAAAGTACATCTGTTTCCGTTCGACTTCTTTCATTGCGTAAGGAGTACGATAATAAAATAGAAGGAGAAAAAAGAATGAAGAAAGGCGGTGGCATACGGCAGGTTAAAGAGGGAAGTCCGACCGAGCGAATCCTCGAAGAGTCGACTGCTCTCAGCGCGACTTCATCCCTCTTTTCAGTTCTTTGGGTAGAGGGAAATAACTTTTCTCGAGCACACATTTCTACTTTCTTTGCGTACTTATGCAGAGCCGTTTCAAGATTATTATCGACTCTATTCCTGCATACCAAGTGACTTAATATTTTCCGTTCAAGGGGATTTACCATCCTATGTTACTATGATAAAATCTTAAATCATTGGGAAATTACACAAGCAGTAGTTCTCGTATATTATTCATGATGTTATCTCAATTTTAGTTGCAACTCAATTGTATAAAAGGTTTCAATATTCATATAAGTATATATATCTACAAGACAATTAGGAAGAACGAGATAATTTAAGTGTAAAAAGTTTGCTAATTATTTTTTTATATTTTATTAATTTTTCAGACGTAAATTTGGAACTTTTAAGATGACATTCCGGCAGCTTATTAAAAGAACAGAGTACACAAAAATGTCCTTTCTTCGATCAAAATAATTTTCGTACCAACAAGAAATAACAAAATGAAAGAAATATATTGTAGAATTCGAGTGTAGAATTTCTTTTATTTTCAATTTTTACGAGGAGTAGCCTTCGTCTACTACATTGTTGTGAAAGAACAGCTATTTTTGTTTCCAAGATTCCTTTCTAGATTACAATCAAGTTGCCTAAGATCTCGTATCAGCAACGTCAGCGAGCATTAAGCAACAGGAAGTATATGATTGAAAACTAGGATCGTGCTTATCTGGAGTGATTCGA